TTTTTAAAAAAAATATTAAAAAAAAATTTTTTAAAAAAAAAAAAAAATTAAAATTTTTATTTTTTTTTAAAAAAAAAAAAAAAAAATTTTTTTTTTTTTTTAATTTAAAAAAATTAAAAAAAAAAATTTTTTTTTTTTTTTTTTTTTTTTATTTTTTTTTTTATAGTTCCCCATTGAGCTTAGGGTTAGGGAGCCGTCTGTCATGACGTGGGTTAAGTTAAGATATAGCCTAGTATTGTGTGTGTCGTTGTATTGTGATTGATATATTTCGTGTATGCGATAAATTCACCACTGGTAGCCCCAGTCGGTATTTAAAAAAAAAAAAAAATATTCAGAATATTCAGAATCGATTCAGAATATTCAGAATTTTATTCTCAATCCAATTCTGCGTCGATTGATACAAAAAAAAAGATCAAAATCTGTTTACATTTGATAAAGCTATAAGTAAAACAAAAAAGCGCCATGAAATAAATCTCAATTTCCAGATTTACAAACTAATTGTAAGTACTAGAATAGATACAGAACTAATTATAAATACTATTAGGTTGATGCATAAGTCTTTTTGTTCCTTTTCGTCTGTCGTTTCAAGCCAACAAATGCACCAATTAAACTACGGTTGATTTCATTAGAAAAACCAATTATTTTTCTGCAAAATAACATTAAAACGGGTTTAAAAATATTTAATGCCTGGATTTTCTTGAGAGTATGAAGTCGGGTAGTCAAAAAGGGCTAACTCGATGATGCGGTTTAGACACCTTAGCTAAAGAAAACCTATCTTCGTGTCAATAGATAAAAGATAGAGAAAAAAAACGTTTGATATTTCGCCAAAATTTCAGAGAAATTCATTCAGCCAATTTTTCCGTAGAGTTTTTTATAGATTTTTACGAAAAAGGCGTTTTTCACTCTCGAATTTGCTTGAAAGTCAACCGAAATTCATTTAAAAAGATGCAAATTGAACAAAAAAACACTTTTTTTATAGAGCAAACTATAGATTAATTGGTGAATCTGTTACTTTTTAACAGAAGTACGAAAAAAACGAAAAGACTTATGCATCAACCTATTAGAATAGATACAGTGCGCGTCAAAATGATAGGTCCACCCAATTTCTTAAAAACTATCAAGGCATTAAGCGCATAAAGTGGTGGACCTATCATTTTGACGGTTTTTACCGGTTTTTACCTCAATTTTTGAGTTTTTCCAAAATACTCATAAATTTTACCGATAAATTACCGATTTTACCGATAAAAACTTTTTTAAACTATTGAATATTTATCAAGAATCAAATTAAAATTCATCTACAAATATGGATTTTAATTTTCCTTGATAGTTTTTGAGAAATCGGGTGAACCTAGCATTTTGACGCGCACTGTAGCAAGCCTGATAGCAGTGTTTCTATCCGATATAATGTTACATCAAAGTGATGTTGGTGGAACAGGTTGATCAGAATGCAAAGTTTAAAGACGTTAATCAAGTGAAAACGAGCTTGACATGCATCACAGGCCTACACTTGTCAATCTTACCTCCGCCACTCAAAAATTCCTTTTTCGCAACATTTTTCATCGTCCAGTCCATGCATACACCAATCAATGAAAATCAATGAAAATGAATCTCCAATCAAAAAGCTTCAAATCTATTTGAAAACCTTTTAATACTGCAGATATTTCTGATATTTCTTATCTATTAAATTCTTTTATACGTATACTTTTCTCTAGAAATCGATTCTCGAATGGTCGAACCGAGGATCACTCTTAATTCGATCACCAATCAGAGCTATGGAGGTGAGTGGGGGAAGCTTTTCAGATAATAATCTATTGACTTTATAGTTAGAAGGAGTTTTTTTTAAATCTACATTTAGGAATCGTGAACAATCTATTCGAAGATCCGACTCCGCAAAGCAATCCGCTCACTCAAGCCACCCCTTCACAAAATCAACCGAAATTTGACGCCTCGCCGTTGATTTTAAGTAAGGAGACAGCGTTAATCTAGAAAATCCTGTAATTTATCAAAGCTAGGTCGTTAACGTTTATCAAGAACCACAAAATTCGGTTGAGTTAAGAAAATTGAAGACCAAATTATTTTGCCGACCGACTTCTGCCCATTTTACAGGCAATTTGCGGATTCCTCTTTCGTAGTAGGATTTTGGTTTGTGTGTGAGACTCAAAAATGGAGGACTGGAGATGTCCCAGTTTGAGCACTTTCTTCAAAAGAAATCCATTTTGGTGTCAATAGAAAAGTTGTAGAGAATCAAAAATTAAGCTTATAGCCAAATTTCCAAAAAGAAACACTTAGTAGTTTCGCTTAAAATGCAAGTTTTGTGAAAAAAATTCGTAAAAATTTGGCATTCCTTGAAAACCAGCCTTTGAATCATTCTGAAAATTTGGATATAAGCTTTATTTTTGATTCTCTACAACTTTTCCATTGACACCAAAATGGGTTTCTTTTGAAGAAAGTGCTTAAACTGTGGCATATGACAATAGCCGGCAATTTTCAATTCACCAACCCAATAAAAAGATCAAAATCTGTTAACATTTGATAAAGCTATCTGTAAAACAAAAAAGCGCCATGAAATAAATCTCAATTTCCAGATGTACAAACTAATTGTAAGTACTAGAATAGATTAGGATTCAAGGATTCAAGATGATTCAAGAAAAGAAGCAGAAAGTTTTCTTCAAAAGCAAAAACTGATAACTTGAAAAAGCACGCGAAGAGAGTAAAAATAAGCTTTCAAAATATTGAAGTGAAAGAGAGGAAGAGATTTAAAGAAAGGGTTTACGTTCTCACCCACATTTTTCTTCTTTTTTTCAACTCTGACACCTCTTCTTTTTCTCCATTTTGTTGTATATATGTGAGTATATTTGCCAAGAAAGCACCTCTCCTCGAAAAAAAAAAACCCGTCACTTACTCATTTGATCTCTCTCTCTTTTCTCCGCTCTCCATTCTCTGCCACTCTTCAGAAACCCCCAATTTCAAGGCCTGCGCCGAAACAGATCACGTTTCACAATTCCATTTTTATTCTTGATATTTCAATTTGATATTCTGATGATATTTATTGAACAGTGAAGATCTAAAGGAGATCTAAAGATCTAAAGAAGATCTAAAGAAGATCTTATATTCAACTACAGCTTTGTACTACACAAATCGGTGCCTCACCCTCAGCCTCACCAAAGTTTCAAGCCTCTTCTTCATCATATTTCAACTTTCACTACTCTGTACAACTCTGTACTGAATATTTCTTTCATACTGAATACTAAAGCTTCAAAGCATTCAGCTACTCTAGTTTTAGCCATCAAACTACCGCAAACAAATTCTCACTTCAACAATTGAATATTTTATTTGATATTCTAAAGGTTTAAATCGACTTCATCGATTTACTACTCGGCTAGTCTAAGCTTCATTCAATTTCACGTGATCCCAACCTCTTCCACCGACTCTCGTTCTTCTGCTTGATGAGCTAAAGCCATCTTCTTCTCATCATTCTCCCTTCATTTCTTTTCCAATGTCCTCCCCACTCTCATTCGACAATCCCCATTACAATGAGCCCACCACCGATGAGCTGCCACCATTCGAATGTAAGTCTTTAGCAATGGCTTTGATAATAAAAATCATTACCAAAAATGATAGAGATTAACCTACGGATAACAAAGAATATCTAACTATAAGGTTCTTGCTTTGGAAGAAGCTCTACCAGTTTCTTACCTACCAGTCCACAAGTTCTACCAGTTTTAAAGTTTTAAACTGGTAGAACTTGTGGGTTCAATTTTATAGCCACTTATGAATTCAAAAATTGTGCAAAATTTCTTTTATCTATACACTTTATTAAGGTTTAAATTAAGCTAGTGATAGGACTAATTTGTAAATTGGGATTTCTTTTATCGTCTTTAATTTGTTATCGTTTAATTTGTTTGTTTAATTTATTCGTTTAATTTGTTCGTTTAATTTGTTCGTTTAATTTATTCGTTTAATTTGTTCGTTTAATTTATTCGTTTAATTTGTTATCGTTTAATTTGTTCGTATCCTTTCTTCTTCAGAATTAATGCTTGATCAGATCTTGAACTTGGGGTTTGCGCTTAGCTTTCACCATTCATTCCTCCAATTATACTTCAATGTAACACATAAATTATCTATCTACTTGTTCTGTTCTAATTCTAAAAAGAGGTCACATGAGCAGAAAAATCTCAAAGGATTTGTGGAGAGATTTTGGGGGGAAAATCGTTGCTAGGAGGGGAACAACCGGGAGCACTTCCGGTTGAGTCCAGCGATTTGAATCGAGTGAAAATAGAAAAGATTTGTTCTGATGGGGTATAAAATGAGAAGAATATCAAGAATGGGATGGGGGAAAATATTGAAAATATAAAAACTCATCATGTACAAGATTTCAATTGTGCAAAAATCCCCAATCATTCCAATCAAATCAATCAAACTTTTCCAAGGCTTTCCCCCTCAAAAATCAGCTGATCAAAAGGAAAACAATAAACTGATGATTTGATCTTCTCATGGAATGACACAACTCATCTACACCTCCAACTTCCATTCAATTTTTCGTTTCTCTTTCCCCTTCATGTCACTCACCCCATATCGGGTCGATTGGCCAAAAAGAGAGAGAAATATTGAGGGAATAGAGGAGAGTGAAAAGCTCAAGAGACACATTGTTTATACCCTGTTCTCTCGCTATTCTTTCCAATATTTCTTCATCAAAGCTTTGACCATTCCACTCATCTCAAAGCTTTGCTCCCATTTACTAAGCTTGCTCCCATTTACTCCCAGCTTGCTCCCATGATTCATTCGATTATCTAAGCTGAATATTTTGCAAATCTTGTCAATAAGCCAAAGATTTTCATTAGAAAGCTGAATACTCTTAAATTCTTAAAGCAATACGCGTTTTGGGGCGTTTAAAAGCTGACTTTTGAAATTGCAAAAGTTTTAACCTTCTTGAGAAAAGAAAATTTGCATTTTTCTTTTATCTGACTGTATTATTGATTATCTATATTTATTTCCTTAAAATGGAAATGATTGATGAATTGGATATACGCAATGATTTTCCCGGCTCGACGGCTATCAATTCCATTCATATAAACGTTGATCAAGCCGTGGGAAACGAAAATGAGCCTCGGGAAAGGATCCGAAATCTAGGTTCAGATATAATAAAGAGATTGATATATCAACTTATAAATCTTTCATTTCAAATAGATTAAAGGGATAATTTAATATCTAATTGCTAAATTATTGCTAAATTATTGCTAAATTTAGCAACAAATTTCAGACGAGGATGCGATCAATCGGAGTCGCGCCGCCGCCGCCTCTGGGCCACCATCGCCGAGTGAGTTTTATTGTTTTTGAATAAAATTCTTAACAAACAGCTTCTAACAAGCAAGAATAAGCATAGCCTGATAAAATCTAAATTTAGGTCTGGACCTACAAACGGCGAGACCGGGCGGATTGTCGACGATAAGCGGAGTGTTCGCCCCGGTTGCCCTTTCGATGTTCAGCATTTTGCTCTTCATGCGAATGGGTGAGTGAAGATGGGAATGTTATTAGCGAATAGTCTTGGCTGGTCAAGTTTTACTGCAAGCCTGGTTTAAGTCGATGGGTTCATCCGCCAGGAGCCAGGCCTGGAACTGCTTCTGGTCGGTTTTACTATTAGCCTGTGCCTTGAATTGCCTGGGCTGGCCCAAAGGCCGATTGGGCCATCCCCTAATCATATGAACAATATGACACTTGCGTCGTTTCCGGGTATTTTGAAAGAATCCGGGTATTTTGAAAAAATCCGGGTATTTTGAACGGGTCGCTTTCAAGGCCTATAACTTTGTTTAGAGACGATATTTTTGTTAACCTTTTATATCATTGTACAGAGGACATTTTAGACTTTCTAATGATACAAAATAGAGCTTGACTGGATTTTTCATTCCCATACAAACCAGGTGACACGACACCCGAGTCGGATAGGCCACATTTGCTCAGAGTTGGCTTTGATTTTCTTGAACTGGATTATCCAATCAATCTCTATTTTGTATCATTATGAAAGCCTAAAATGTCCTCTGTACAATGATATAAAAAGTTAACGAAAATATTATCTCTAAACAAAATTATCGACCTTCAAAGCGTGACGACCCGTTCAAGAGCCAACAATATTATTGAAATTAAAACTAACAACCTAGCAATTACTGTTTATCATATTATGCAAATGGACATTTTTATTTTCAATGTTTTTTCAGGTTTCGTTGTCGGCCAACTCGGTTTCTTGATGACCGTTATGCAATTGTTGATGGCTTATTGTATCGTTCTTCTCACTGTTCTTTCTTTATGCGCCATTTCATCAAATGGAGCGATTGAGGGCGGAGGAGTGTACTGTAAGTAGATAAAAGTTGGTCTTTCAATAGAACTTGCTTTAGATATGATCTCTCGCTCGCTTGGTCCCGAATTTGGTGGAGCGATCGGTGTGCTTTTCTTTGTCGCCAATGTTTTCAGTTGTGCGCTTTACATCTCAGGATTCACCGAGGCTCTCCTCAATAATATTGGCAATGGACGTAAGTTTTGGTGATATCGTAAATACTGTATACCCGTAATCGTACAGTCGCGTAGTCGCAAGTCGCAAAAGTTTTTTAGTATTTCATTTTTTTAAAAGCGTCCGTGCTTTCAAAAAATGTGTTTTTGGTATCAAAAAACAGGCCGGAATTTCAGCTATTTTTTGATACCTAAGCGCGCATTTTAGCTTAAACCAGTGTCGAGAAAAACGCGTTCAAAGTTAGACTACGCAAAACTCCGCACCGTCATTATGGAGCTAAATGTCGGCTTTGGTCTGCTAAAAATTGCTTGTTAAAGCTGTAAAGTGACCGGGATTTAACCAGAATATCCATTTTGACATTAGCACAAGGATCAAAAGCTTTAGTACTGTTTAATTTGAAACTAGACTATAGAGAAAGAGATTTATAGCTGATAAATGACTAGCGTTCATTATATACAGTTATCCATTCACATTTTAGAATTTCCCGACAGTCCCGGTTGGCGTTTCGTCTACTGTGTGCTTGTGTCCGTCTTTTTACTCATCATCTCACTCCTTGGAGCAGGTAAAACTTAATGTAATAGCTCTCAAGTCTAAACTAAAAACCTTATTGTCAGGTCTCTTCGCAAAAACAGCACTCATCACTTTTATCGTGATCTCATTTTGCTACTCAACGTATATTTTCACTGTGATCACCACCGGAGCCAAGAATGTCACGATTCCGAAGACGAACACGAACGCTTATATGGTGAGTTAATAATTTATATGGTGATCTATAAATGGTAATTTACTTTGGATATATTCTTTTATAATTCCAGGTTCTGAACAACATCAGCGATCCATCGGCCGGCTCACACATTGACTATAATCAGACACTCACCGCCGAGTACACCGGTTTCAGGTAATTCTTTTAATAGATTTAGCTATAATCTAGATATATTTATGTCTTTATATATAAATATTTTCTAGTTTCCATTCTCTATCCGACAACATGCTCACTAATTACACTCACGACTACACGACGGATAAGCCTGTCGACTTCGCGCTCATGTTCGCCATCATTTTCTCCGGGGTTACTGGTAAGATATAGAAAAATTCATGTAAAAATATATCTAGATAACTTAGCTAGATAACTAGATAACTTATCTATTAGGTACTGTATTTCTTTTTGCTGTGAAATAACGAAGTTCTTGCATAGTTTATTGTAAGTCGCAGCTTGGGCTTGAGCTTGAGCTTGAGGCTTGAGCAGGAAATTCTGTTATTATAAGGTCTGTTAAAAGGTTTTTCTAATATTTCTATATCTAGTATTTATTATATATAATTTTAAAAGATTCATTGGATAATAGTTATTCGAAATGTGATATTGATTTAGGTTTAATGGCTGGAGCAAACATGTCTGGTGAACTGGCTCGACCGAATGTTTCGATTCCTCGAGGAACCGTTCAAGTGAGTTAACGAGATAGCTTAATTATTTGATAAAAAAATAGAAAACCTATGTAAAATTGATATCTAGATATTAATATCTAGATATTTATACGTCTAAATATCTAAACCTAATTTTAATTCCAGGCCGTTTTCACAACATTTTTCGTCTATATATTCACCGCGTTAATGATGGCTGCGACGTGTAGCCGCGATTTGTTACAGAATAATTATACGGTAAGAAATTAGTATTATATATTATAGATTCAAAAAAGCTATTCAATTATTCAATTATTCAATTGTAGGTGATGCTCGACGTGAACGTCTCTCGATGGTTTATTTTGGTGGGAATCTTCTCGACAACCGTTTTCTCGTCACTCTCGAATTTAATCGGCTCGAGTCGTGTGCTGAATCGACTTTCACAGGTACTTTATTTGATAGATATTTAGATATTAATAGATATTTAGATATTTATTAATAATATCTAAAATTTTAGGATAAACTCTTCGGCATCTTGCTCCGTCCGGCTTCTATCGAAATCGGCGACAAAAATCCCGTTGTCTCTGTGTTTATTTCGTGGATTTTCGTCGTGGTACGTCTCTTTCAATTCCTAAATTCTATCCTAAGTCCTATTCTAATTAATCTTTCAACTTCTAAATTCTAAACAAACTTTATCTATTCCAGCTAGTTCTCTCAATCGGTGCAATGAACAAGATCGCCAAGTTGACCTCGATTTTCTTCCTGTTGTCCTACATGGGAGTGAACATTGCCACACTGGCCTTGGAGCTCACCTCAGCTCCAAATTTTAGGTTTAATTTAAAATTGTTCTATTGTTATAATATCCAATTTCAGACCAACCTTCAAATATTTCTCCTGGCAAACGTGTACAGGCGGAGTGATTGCAACGGCGACAATGATGCTCGTTGTCGACTCGGCGATGAGTGCACTCGCTATTGTTGTCAGTTTTTTTCTTTGAAAAATTTAGTTTTAAACTTGAAAAGCTATATATTACTTTATTGTAATATATAGCTTTTCAGAAAAGCTATATATTACTTGTAATACTTTATTGTAGTAGTCAGATAAAGATAAATCTGAAAATTCTAGGTACTGTTGGTTTTAATCATGATTCTTCACTACCAAGCTCCCGTCGGTTCATGGGGATCGATCTCTCAAGCTCTTATCTATCATCAAGTCAGGAAATATCTATTGCTGCTTGATGTCAGAAAGGAACATGTCAAGTAAAGAAGACTGAAGTTTTATTTATAAATAATAATTTAGATATTGGCGTCCCCAGATTTTGCTTTGTGTGTCTCGGCCGGCTTCTGCTTTTCAGTTGATGGATTTTGTGAACGATTTGAAGAAAAGCGGTTGACAAACTCTAGCTTTAATTACTGACAATTTTCTAGGTCTTTATGTGATCGGTCACGTCCGAAAAGGAGCCATGGATGCACAAGAGCCCATCGATCCGCTGCAACAAGTTTGTGTCGATAAGTTTAACCCTAAGAATACAATTTCTAGGTTTTTCCCTACTGGCTCTCATTAATCGACTATCTCAAATTGAAGGCTTTCGTTGAATTGACAATCTCGAACAATATTCGAATTGGATTGCAACAGGTGAATCTCAAAAACCTTACACAAACAAAAACGTAATCACTTTTAGTTGATGAGACTCTCCGGCTTGGGTGCGATGAAGCCAAACACAGTGGTGCTCGGCTTTCACGAAGAGAACCCCAGAGAGGCCACTTTACAGGTAGAAAGTTTGAACTCTTCAAGCTAAATGATAATTTAATCTTAATTCAGTATACAGCTATTCAAATAGTGTCTAAAAGTTTGCTTTTATCATAGCAAAGGAATTCCAGGAACAACAACTTTTGAAAGATCTCCGCTATTCGAAAATCGATCGCTCGGCTGTTGTTGAATATTTCACAGCTGGGGATTACATGCCTACGGTAAATGAAGACGATAATTTTACCGATTGCATTTATTTTTTAGGAGTTGAATGGGAATATGGAAAGAATTGGAAGTGTCGACTATGTGAATGCATTGAAAGGTGAATATCATAAGCAACTTTCAGCGCTATCAGCCAAGTTACTGTAAAGTCTCACTGGGGAAAAGCTGAGCTTTTTTTCAGCTAGTGTACTTTAGTTAAGATACAATACTGACAATGCGTCTTAAAGTACCTTTAGCTTACCATCAAATTTCAACTCAACAGGCTGGATACTTTTCATTTGGGATTACTGTAGCCAAGACTATTCAACTTACCAGAATACTTGACTTTTGAGTGCTATAGTAATATAATTTCTCTTTCTACAATAGCTTTAATGGCTCTATTCAATTACAGGATGACCTAATTGCAAATCTTTTATCTATATCTATATGTTATCAGTTTTTTGCTCAGAGAATGGGCAGATTTATTGAAAACCTTAATCAGCCTAGTATAATGTGTTGTCTTGGTAACAAACTTTGCGATGATTTACAATTGTTTTAAGCACTTGATGGAATATCTCATAGAATTTTAGAATCTAGATGATTCAGCGATCATTTCTAACTATCAAGAGCCGCTTTAACTTATCTAGATAAGTTAAAGCGGCTCTTGATAGTTAGAAATGATCGTTGAATCATCTAGATTCTAAAATTCTATGAGATATTCCATCAAGTGCTTAAAACAATTGTAAATCATCGCAAAGAGAGATTTAACTTGCCTAAATAACTATAACAAAGTTATCGCCTAATTTTTAGATGTACTTCATATGACGAAGAATCTCTGCGTCGCGCGGCATTTCTACAAACTCGACAAAGAGGCGCTGGCTCGGGGATGGAATGGGCAAAAGAGATTCATCGATGTTTGGCCTGTTGATTTGCAAAAACCCGGAGAGACCGGATTGGGATGGGATAATAGGTGAGTTAAAAGGGAAATACCTACCGTAAATACTGTAATAGTACCCCACCCCCCATAATGACGGTGCGGAGTATTACGTAGTCTAGCTTTGAACGAGTTTTTCTCGACACTGGTTTATGCTACAATGCGCGCTTAGGTATCAAAAAATAGCCCTGAATTTCAGCTATTTTTTGATGCCAAAGACACATTTTTTGAAAGTACGGGCGCTTTGAAAAAAATGAAATACTAAAAAACTTTTGCGACTACGCGACTGTACGAGGGGGGCGGGGTACTATTACAGTATTTACGGTAGATAAATATCATAAACATAAACATAAACATTTTAAAATGTAAAATTTTCAGTTCCCTCTTCCTCTTGCAGCTTGCCTGCATTTTGTCGATGTCATCCCGTTGGAGAAACATCGCTCGTTTGAGGGTTTTCATTTGTGTCAACTCTTTACAGGTATTTAAGAGATTATAGATAAACTCAAATATTATATTATGCAAATTTTTGAGATATCAAAAGTCTTACAAGTTTTCCCCACAATTCCCTTTTACAGGACATGCATCGCCGCGAGAAACAACTCAAAATGATGCTCGACGCGTTGAGGATAAAAGTGAGTAGACAGGGGTTTCGGTCGTTTTGTCGTCGTGGCGCAGTCAGCAGCGCGCTTGTCTACAGCCCACACGATCCGGGTTCGACTCCCGGCTTGCGTTTTAAAAGACGAAATTTAAGATGCACAACTATATAGCCTAACATTCTAAATTCTAAGCCTAACAAACTAAAAATCATGTAAATCGGCCCACGGGGATTCGAGAACTCGCGCGTACAGAAAATTTCCTTTTATATATGGTAAATTTCAAGTTATATTTAAAATAAGCCACTTCTTGGACTTTACTAAACGTCAATTCCAGGCTGAATCAATCGTTGTTCCGTGGGATCACGTTGTATGTCATTTCGGGCAACAAACCGAGAATATGCCTCTAAAGTGAGTTGAACTCTCATAAATTCATATACAAAGATTTCAGATTGTTGAAAATTTAATAAACTTTCAACAAAAATAACAAAAGAACCAACTTCCAACAAAAATAACAAAAGAATCAACTTTAGACCAACGACTGAACTTCCTCAGCCATACGTAACCGCATTTAACGATATGATTCGAAGGTCGGAAATGTTTTTGTTGAGCTATCGATTTTTATTTATTAGTTATTATTATATTTAGCGAAGTTTTACTATTTTACTGTCTAACTAAAGCATTTACTGTTGATACAAATTATTGCCATTTTTCCTAACCCTAATGATTTCAGATACTCAGCTGAGGCGGCGCTTTGCTTTTTGAATCTTCCGCTACCGCCGGATAGCGCTGAGATGGACTCGGAAAAGTGAGGAAATGAAATTAAAGGGAAAGACCAGGAAAAAGTTTAAAAGTGTACTTTTGCTGGGCCAGATCTGGAGTTGTTGCAGCCTGGCTGGCCTGGCCTGACTCCGACCTTGCCTTGTCTGGCTTTTCAGCTTCTGGGAAGGTGGAAGATCCCTGTAGACTGATGGCTACAATATTTATTCAATTTCATATCGACAATATTTATCCCTATTTCCCATCTTTCAGATATCTGCGCTTGTTGCGCATTTTGACGGACACCCTCCCGCCGACAATGATGGTTCACGGGCTCTCCTCGGTGATCAGCACCGCTTTGTAATCGGCAAAAAAGAGATTTCTTTTTTTTGTACAGTCTATGCATCGATGTCTCATGTGATAATGCGAAAAAGAATTTTTTGAAACGATTTGGTGCTTTTTCAAAAGTTTTCGTGAACGGGATCGAACTCGAGCCACTCCAAGTGAGGGGCTAACATGGTAACCACTCGACTATTCTATATTACCACTTCTATTACCTTCTATTACCACTCGACTATTCTATTATTATCAAATTTCTATCGCTAGTCACTAAAAAAATTGCATTTTCTCCTCGAATTGTGATCATTTTTTTCATTTTTGTGCAATTTTCTAGAAATTCTCCTCTTTTTCCCAAAATTTCTCCGTTATCCGGATTTGAATAAGTGGTCGCACTTTGAAGATTCATATCTTTCTCTAGAGATTGTATTATTGTTACTTTTCTTATATCATTGTATAGAGGAGACTCCAGGCTTTCGAATGATATGAAATAGAGCTAGATTAGACTGGTAAATCCAGAGAAAACAGCAACGAAGAGGACTTGACTGTGAAAATCATGCGATCAACGTTGAGAGTTTTGTCTCTCGATTCTCTCAGGATTTATCAGAGCAATCAACCTCTATTTGGTATCATCTCAAAGCTTGAAATGTCCTCTATAAAACGATATAACAAAAGTAACAATAACATAACGTCTACACAAAGTTATGAGCCTTTAAATCTAGCTACTCATTCAATAATCCCGGATAACGGGCAGTAAATTCTCTCTGTAGCCTTTCTCACTTACGCTTACGGTTTTTTTTTTGTCTTTATTGAGAATAATGAAATTTTTGATTATTTTGATTATTTTTTTATTCTAATACAAGAAAATCACAGAAAATCACGAGCTTTAACAAAAAAAAATGTAAAGAAAATCTAACTAGAGACAAAGTGGTCACCTAATAAAGAGGACACGTCTAGAAATTACACCTGAAAAGTTCTCAAAAAAAAGAAAAACCGTTTTTTTTTGGCTTAAGATTCGGGATTTTGGGAGGGGAGAATGGAAAAAAAAATGTTATCGTCTAGATCATTGAGCTAAATTTTTAGCGTCTAGATCATTGACTAAAGTTGGGGAAAAGTCTTTTTTGATTACCAGGTCCAGCCTTTTCATCAAAAATGAGAGAAAAATGACAACTCGACTACGACAAAAAGGGGAAACGAAAACCACGAAACCGTACTTTAATAGCAGGCAACTATTGTTGAGGAAGAAAAACAAAAATCCTAAAATAACAAGAGAAAAATGGTCAAGTAAAGCTGATCGATCAGATTACCCATAGGGGAAACGAAAACGAACTTTTGGTGCGTGGGGAGGGGAAATTTCACCGTATCCACGAATGTTTATGTAGTGAAAGAGCCATTACAACGTTTCGGCGATTGGCTTGACTGGGTTTCTCTGGGGTTAAAGTTTCGTATGCAAATTGATCTTAGACAAGAAAACTTTACTGTACTTTTCCTACCTTACTTTTCCTTACTAAATTGCATACGATAGTTGAAACTAGGGTAGATCAAAAAAGATGCGCTGCCGGGATTCGAACCCGGGACCTTTGGCTTAGCGGGCAAGGGTGCTAACCATTACACCACAAGGCACTTGAGATCGCTTACTCTAGAGGGAGTTTAAGTCGATAGTTGACATCATAATCCTTGTCTATCATAACCAAATCATATGCTAAATTGCAATCGTATGCAACTTTCGACTACAGTAAGCCTTTCTTGTCGACAGTAAATTTACATACGACTTCTTGAATACATACGACTTCTACCGTAACCTTATGCAAATTTAAGTTACAGTCTGACACTTGTCCTTGTTTTTACTATACCGTAACGTTGCAAAGAGAATTTTCACAAACAAATCACACAAAAAGATACACAGTGGAGAGAAGAAGTACTGTATTTGACTACAGTACTGTATCTGATCACAGTACTGTATCTGACTACAGTACTGTACCCGACTACAGTACTGTATCCGACTACAGTACTCATACCCAAAAGATAAAAAGAAAGAAAGAGATCTAAACGGAACAGGGGGAGTGAATGCTGATGCAAAAAGATCCAAGAAGATCAATGCGACAGCATTATACTTAAGAGACTCAAAATGCGGTGATACAGATCATCGAAAGCTTCAACCAATTGTTTCTTCAACCAAATCGTTGTTAACAGGCAGTCGATTGTCCATTTTGTGGCGTTTTTTGATTGAGAAGATCTTGTTCACGAATAATCTCGTGAACATGTTCTTTGAAGGCACGAGAGAGGCCCGCTTGCCAGAAGATCAGCACCATCTTGTCCTAAAATTATCAGATTAGATTTGCTAACTCTTAAAAAACATCGATTTTTGATTTCAGGTTTCCTTTTACTCTTTCTTATCTTCTCAAGATCCCTACATGCATATTTGAGCGAGTGTTGTGTAGAGCCAATCTCCCTTTTCCTATCACTGATCCACTCCATCGTCATTCTTGAGGGAAACTATCATCCTGCGTAGAGTCAATCTCCCTTTTCCTATCACTGGTCCACTCCATCGTCATTCCCAGGGAACCATCATCCTTATTGAGTCTAGTGTTACAATCCGGTACAAGTTTCTTTCTGTTATATTGGAGTGGACTTTCGAAAAAATAGATAATGTGAAAAACTATCGTAGTTTTCCCAAAATCAATATTACTCATTACTCATCACTCAACTCGTTAACGTACTCAACGATTGCTTTTGAACTATCCATCTCAAAATCATCTATCTTTAGCCCCAAAATCTCAACAAAAGCTTAGTCATAAGTGTGAATTTCTTTTAGTAAAGTTGAAATAAACAATCGACCCCTTGAAGAGTTTTTTTGTGTCGATGAGAACTCGACGCGTTTTCCTCGGAAACGATTCTTTCACAGCCCATTTTTTTTTCAACCCTGTCCCCCAGTTTCCCCCACTCAGAAAAACCTGCGGATGGCCGTGTGTGAGGAAAGAGGAAACGAGAAGAAAAGAATGGATAGATGAAAGAGTTGAAGAGGTTTAGATACTGGAAAAACGGGCAGAGAATGCGCAATCGATTTGGGGGCACAGCCGCGCACCCCTTTCCCCACATTGAATGGAAAAGGCCAGAGTTTCGACAAGCAGACAACACCCCGGCGTCTCTAGCCTTTGGACCTCCCTTTTCTACTCTTGGGACTTCTATTGATACACTTTTTGACTCTTGCTCTTGACTTTAGCAAAAGAGTAGATCACTTACATGTGGGGTGGCTCGGACGAGTTGAGTGGCCTTGTCGAAGCCGATTTTCGTCGATTGACGCTGCAGTTGGTAGAACTGTAAATTGGGGAATTGGATTGAGGGAAATATGGGGTGTGGGGATACCTGCTTGGCTTTAGCCAACCATTTCTCGCGAGTTGATCGGAGCGTTGTTTCGAGGATCGTGTCCACGATCTCTGGATCTAAAATTCGTGGGTGAAAAAAGGCATCTAACTCTGGTATCATACGAGCCAGATATTGCCCTAATAATGCTCTAATATTTCTCAAGATGTCCAGAAAAAAAGAGGAAATTCAAAACTTGAAAACGGGGTCGAATTTTCCAGCAGCTGGGGTCGAACCCAGGACCCTCCGGCTTTCCGATCCCCTGATTACAAGACTCCAACCACTAGGCCATCGGGCACTATAAACACCTTGGCGGCATTCGGTATACTAATGATGTAATGGCTTTATCAGCAACCAGTGTTCTTAATCTTGAGTATGACCCCATCCTGGAGGCAATGAGATTCTTGTCGTTCTAGCTCATTGGTAGAGCGTTCGCCTGGAAAGGGACAAGTCTCTGACTCGATTCCTGGCGCCGGCGATCTTTTAGCGATCAATCCATAAAACCTCTTGCTCTTTGACCTCTTGCTTGCAAGACTGTCTTTTGCTTTCTATACGTTTCCACTCACCGAGCAACAATTGCTTGAATCGAGGGACAATCTTCGGCATCAATGCGGCGAATTGCGGACGACGACGAATCTCCATATTCGTTCCATCCAAAAGCAATCCATCACAACCATTTGAGAGTAGACGAATGACAAGGCATTCCTCAGCATCCAAAGGGATATCCGTGTTCAATGGACATCCCAATAGATTCACCCTGGAAACGAATGGTTTACTGGTTTACTGGTTTACTTGTGCTCAAAAATCGAAAAACACTTCACTCAATGTTTCACTTGTACCTCATCAACTTATTTCTATAATTCGCACGAAAAAAATCAGGGCAAATCCCCAGGAGATTCGGTGAGTGTTGAGGCGATGTCAGCCTTTTTACCCCCGTCTCTCTTGTGTGTGGTTGGGTGATAATTGCCGTCACAGCGGGGGTCCGCTCACATAATGCACTCACTCTCTTTACCCTTTTTCTTTCTTTTCCCTTCCCTTCCCTTCCTTTCCTTTCCCTTCCCTTCCCTCCCTTCCCTGTCCAAATTGGGTAGTCCTTTCTCTTGACGGGGAAGTGCTGAAAGAGAGAGGACGATATGCAAAAAGGAGCAAATCCAAACAGCCATCTCTTTCTTTTTCCACTCCTCTAACTGACTCTACGGGTTGGAGAGTCACGCTCGGATGCACACCGTCTCCACCATCTCCAATCCCCTACATCCTTTCCACCACTATGCATCGTAGATTTACTTATTTTTGTTAGTCCTAGATATTAGACATATAGAAAGACATATAGAAAGTTTCCAGAATGTTTTGAAAAGATGCAGATGTTCTCGCGATATTTACAATGATAAATAGAAATTATGAAACTAGTTTACTATCTGTCTAGTTAACTATCGGTGTTCTAGTTTCTAAACTAGTTAACTATCTGTGTTCTAGTTTCTAAACTAGTTAACTATCGGTGTTCTAGTTTCTAAACTAGTTAACTATCTGTGCTCTAGTTTCTAAACTAGTTAACTATCTGTGTTCCAGTCAACTCTAAGTCATGTCCTCTTTCAAAAACTATCATACTCGTTTGTATCCAAGCCTACTTTTAGTCTAAGGCTGATACCAAAAGTAAACAGATTCGATAAAGCTAACAAGGTGACGATAGTTTTAGAAAAGGCGTTGAGTGAACACTGCCTACCAAAACTACAATTCTATCAAGTTTCATAGTCTGCTTATCGTTTCAAATCTTATTTTTAGAAGTCAATCATATCGGAATCCCTTCGTGGTGGACCCTAATCCTCGATCTGCGTAATCTCTCACCAGATGGTGTATCTTGAGTAGTTGAGCCCCCCAAGAAGATTCAAAATCATTAAAAAAAACTTAAAAGAAAAGCCATTTACGATATTGCCCGTCGGGATGATTTCTTTGGGAGAAATAAAGAGGAAGAGTGAAAACGATGTCGTTTCGAGCACCCCACAACTTTTAATGTCTTTATTTTTCTTCTTCTTTACGCCCGGACTCCTTTGATCAAAGCTATATAATAAAACTGACGGCCAATAAAATCTATATGCTTATAGCTAGAGCTAGAGCAAAAAGGAACTTGTGTAAAGCGTTGATAGCTCAGTGGTATCTGCGTGGAGAGAAGAAGAAGAAGAGCAGAAGAAGAGCAGAAGATCGAGGGTTCAATTCCCTCTCTATTCTTTGCTATTGATTTGCTATTTCTTTACTTTATTACGACTAGTTTTTAGCTTTAGGAAATAGACATTGGTTTAGCGTCGTTTTAGATTTCATTGACTAATGCTTTACCGAAAGTAGACAGATTCGATAAAGCTAACAAGGTGACGATAGTTTTAGAAAAGGTGTTGAGTGAACACTGACTACCAAAACTGCAGTTCTATCAAGTTTCATACTGTCTATTTCTTCTTTCAGCACTCCAATTTTCCTATTTAACTCACCCTAAGTACTCTTTAAATCTCACAAGCGAAACAAGCATAAAATGAAAGAATTGCAAAAAGTAGGAGGCTATGTATGTGTGCGATGTGTAAGTGTATTTACACAAGAGAGAGCCCCTCAACCATCCCCTCTTTCGAAGAGTTCGACTTTCATTTTATTTTTTTTTTCTCTTTTTCTTTTCTCTTAGCTTTCAATTGAAAAGAAAAGATGACCAAAAACCAAAAAAATGAATTGTCCCATCAAATTCATCCATTAACTATCCAAAGAAATCCAATGAAATCCAATCCAATCCAATCCAATCCAATCCAATCCAATCCAATCCAATCCAATCCAATCCAATCCAATATTTGCCTTTTTAGCGCAATTTTTCAAGTTTCTTTTAAACGCAAATATGAATTTTCCTTTGCAAAGGCAAAGCAAATAAAATAAAATAAAATAAAATTTAGATTTTGAGATAAAAACTAGAAGTGAGAAATGAATGGCTTTGTCTGTCTTATGGCTTTGTTTCAGGGCTTTGATGAGGTAAAGATGAAAAGCCCTGAGCTTTTTCGGATTCAAGTTTCTCATTTATTTTATATTTTCTTTAAACTCACATGAATCGATGCTGATACACGTCACTCCATCCACACATTTTCGCGCACCCAAGCGGCAAGAGATTCGTCAACGAGAGAAGAAATTGACGGCACAATGGTTGACTGTCCGACTCAATGACCACCTGAAATTGTTGGAATGATATTTGGAAAGTAGGAAAGTATTCATTTGATAGCTAGTTATAGTTTTTAGTTTTTAATAGCTAGTTATAGTTTCTTGAGCGTGTTAAACCCTTAAAAAAGTGTTTTTGGGAATCTCATAAAGCTTTTGTCTGTTGGATTTTTGTTTTTTTTAATCTTTTCTTTGTCTATTTCCTTATTTAAAAGATAAAATCGTATAAATTCACTTAAAAATTGATGCCCACTAATATAGAATAGAAAAAAAAAGAGATGGGGGATGGGGAAATTGGGAGATAATAGATAGACTTTGAGAGTAATCTAGAAGTAATCTAGAAGTAATCTAGAAGTAATCTAGAAGTAATCTAGAAGTAATCTAGAAGTATTTGATTCTAGAAAAAAAATTACAGTAGAAATATTCAATCTATGAGCTTTTCTTTGACTTCTATTTGGCACTAAACTATCTACAGTAATCTGTAGCACAGCAAGAGTAAGCTGTAGCACAGCAAGAGTAAGCTGTAGCACAGCAAGAGTAGCTGTAGCACAAGTAAGCTGTAGCACAGCAAGGTAAGCTGTAGCCAGCAAGAGTAAGCTGTAGCACAGCAGGTAAGCTGTAGCACAGCAGGTAGCTTAGCACAGCAAGGTAAGCTGTGCACAGCAGAGTAGCTGTAGCACAGCAAGAGTAAGCTGTGCACAGCAAGAGTAAGCTGTAGCACAGCAAGAGTAAGCTGTAGCACAGCAAGAGTAAGCTGTAGCACAGCAAGAGTAAGCTGTAGCACAGCAAGAGTAAGCTGTAGCACAGCAAGAGTAAGCTGTAGCACAGCAAGAGTAGCTGTGCACAGCAGGTAAGCTTAGCCAGCAAGGTAAGCTGTGCACAGCAAGGTGTGTAGCACAGCAAGGTAAGCTGTAGCCAGCGAGTAGCTGTGCCAGCGGTAGCTGTGCACAGCAAGAGTAAGCTGTAGCACAGCTGTAGCACTCTTTAGCTACATCGTAAGCTACAGTACCAATTAGCAGCATTATTTCAAATCGTATCTAACATCATTGTTCCACTTTTTAAATCGAATCCAGAAATTGCATAGGTTCACAAAAAAAACCCCAGAACAAAGCCCACCCACACCGCTTTTTCTCTCTCTCTCTCTCTCTTCTCCCTCCAAGCGTTCGCACCTTTTTCCTTTTTCTGATAGAATTTTAAATCCCAAGCCAAAGCTCAATGTTTTTATGCACAAAAAAAAGAAATCTGAGATGTTTCCCCTTCTATATATCCATCCATCCATTTCATTCATTCTGTCAACAAACATAGCAAAAAAAAAGATTTCCCGGCTTTCTTTTCCCCATTTTTTGTGGGGTTGACGAAAATCTGTATGCTGAAATTTGAGCCACTTCGGTTTTTTTTTCGGGGTGCTGGTTGGTCGTTTCGGGACCACCCTCCATATGATAAAATGGGGGAATTTGAGAAGATGTAAACAGGGTTTTTGGAGGGGGAAATGAGTACGGTAGATGGGTAGGCTGGATAGGTAGAGTGGCTGTTATAGGCTGGGTAGGTATTGGTTAGGTGGAATGATTTGACGGGGTTCTAGGGCCGGTAGGTCAGTTCAGGCAGATCAATTCAGACCAAGCCAGACCAGGCCGGATCAGCCTAAGCTGATAACTGAATACTTAATGCCCGGATCAGCCTAAGCTTTTCCGGGTATGTCAGGTCAAACCAGATCAAACCAAAGCAATGCCAGGTTTTGACCTGTCCTAGCTTTGTCTAGCTTTGTCCCAAGAAATCGTTTTGTAACATGAATCATTTATTGTTATTAAGTATTCAGTTAACAGCTTAAAAGACTGGGCTAAAGCTTTCAGATTTAAACTATTTACTTTAAACTATAAGTTTCGCTATTTACTCGCCTATCCGATATGAAGTGCTTACGTCGAACTTCCTTAAATCCGTCAAAAACGAGACTTTTCCTATCCCGAAATTCTCAAATCGAGCTTTGCTCTTGTGGTCGACGAAAAAAAAACGCCTCAAAAATTGAGTTCCGAAAATAATCGAAACCCCCCGTATAATTGGATTTTTTTCTTTTTTTTCTTCTCTGAAAGACGGGTGGATCTAGAAATAATTTTTTGCACGGAAGCACGCAAAAAAAAATTGAAAAAGGGAATTCATTTTCTCTTCTCTCTTTTCTTCTTTCTTTTTTTTCTTCTCAAGAACGGGAAAAGTGTTCCCTTCGCATTTGAAATGAGATTCGAAAAGAAAGAGTTGATAGAATTTTGAATGTAGAAAAATTATCCGAATCAATACAAAAAAGAATTTAAGCTGATTGGCTGTTTTTTTGATTGTGAGCACAAATTGAATGTGCCTGGATGATGTATTGATTGTATTTGAACCGGGAAAATGCTATCGTTTGTCGCTATGGAATTTGCTATGAAATTTTCTATGAAATTTTGCTAAATCCCACCTAAGCCAGGGTTGTTTCAGGATCAGGACTTGGCTTTGCTGAGGCTTTGAGTCATATAAAGTTTCTGGAACTAGCTTCTGGCTGGGCTCTAGGACTGGCTTCTTGCTGGGCTTTCCGGCTTATAGGAAGATCCCTGTGCTGACAATGAGCTGTCTGGCTACAGTCGAGTCTCTGAACCCGGTCGGATTTTGCCTTTCTCTTTGTCTGCTTTACAAGAATATCCCTGCTGCTGAGCTGTGATAGATCATCGAATAGAAAGAAAATCCGTATAGAAGCGCTTTTGTCTGTGATTGGACGAATTTATTGTCCCTTTTTAGCCTTAGCTTTCTCTTTTAGCTTTCTCTCAGCCTTTTCCATCCATCGAGCGATCACAAAGCTAATGATCCATAAAAGAGCAAAAACATTAAATGGGATTTCAAATTGGAATAGAGAAGGGGGATAGTCATAAACCGTAATGTAGGTGAATGGGAAGCGATCAACGATCAGGGTGAATCTAGAATCATTTTCAAAATCGACACCAGTTTATCGTTTCTAAATCTAAATCTAAATCTAAGAGGACTAGAAAACACGGCTTTCGTTATTAGTCTGTTGTTTATACGGCTTCTTATCCCGATAACACTCTCAGAATGAAGAAAGAAGAATCCAATTCAAATCAGCTTATAAATATCTCAAAGATTGATCAAGACAAGTTTTTTTAAAAGTTAGTCGAAGCTTGTAAACATTTTTCAAGCTTTAAAGCATGACTTATCTACCGTAACCTGTGCACTTCTGTACTCTAGTCGTCTTTATGTACGGTAGTTGGGACAGAGCATCGGATAGGCACTTCAAAGCGTGACTTATCTACCGTAACCTTGTTAATAGTCGATGGTCGGTCTCTACCGTAGTCGATAGTCGCTACAGTATCCGATCCAAGCCAAAAACAGGAAGTAAATTCTGATATTAACCAATGGCTACTTTTAGTCATCATCGAATTTCTTTAATTGTTCAACATAACTGTTTAAAAAACAAGCACAGAGATTTTAAATTATTCTTTCTATGAATCTCTAAAGAACAAATGCTCTTCACCCCCAATTAGCAGGGGTCATATTCGAAAAAGGAAAAGAGAAGAGGAGAAAAGAGAAGAGAAGGCAAGGCAAGGCAACATTTGAGTCTCTCTTTTTTGTCTTTTGTTGTCTTCACCAGCTGGTCTCCATCATTCATTCGTTCGGCCGATCGATTCATTCTCTTTGAATTGCCCGTCATCGGATAATTTACGATTGGCGATCTGTTTTCCGCATAAATTAGTGAGCCAAGCTGTTTCGATGAGTTGTGAACGATTCAGAAAAACATCTGGCTTTTTGAGGAATCGAGGGATTCGAGTAAACCAGATAAATCCGGAGGAATACTTTTTACGAGACAACTAGAACTATTTTTTTTTTTTTTCCTTTCTTTTTTTTTTTTTACTTAATTAAAAAAAATAATAAAAAAAAAAAATTAAAAATATTTTTAATATATATAAAAATTTATTTTATTAAAAAATAATTATAATATTATAATTTTTTTTTTTTTTTTTTTTTTTTTTTTTAAAAATTAATAAATAAAAAAAAAAAAAAAAAAAAAAAATTATATATTTTTTAATATAATAAAAAAAAAAAAAAAATATATTTTTAAAAAAAAAAAAAAAAAAAAAAAAAATTTTTTTTTTTTTTTTTTTTTAATTTTTTTTTTATATTTTTTTTTTTTTTTTTTTTTTTTTTTTTTTTTTAAATATTCCTTTTTTTTTTTATATTTAATTAAAAAAAAAAAAAAATTTAAAAAAAAAAAAATAAAAAAAAAAAAATTTTTTCTTTTAAAAAAAAAAAAAATTTTTTTTTTTTTTTTTTTTTTTTTTAAAAAAAAAAAAAAAAAAATAAAAAAAATTTTTCCAACAACCTAATAGATAAGCTCGATAACGTATCCGGATGAGTACTTTTTACGTTAAGTGATCTGTGGCTTGTCTAGAAAATGTTTAAACAAATACTAAACTGTACTTTTCCCAGTTTTTAATTTGGCTACCCATTTGAACGAATACATTTGACCGTTCAACGATCATCGATCAACAATTTCTATAGATCCATTTTCCCATTTATCCAGACAAACCTCATAAAAATTGTGTGCATGTGAATGGCACGGGAAATCACAATTTCAGCTGTTTCGCAAAGATAGGGAATTTCGGGGGATAATTGTTACGTTTTATTGAAAAAAGAGAGAAAAAAGAAAGAGAGCTGATTATTTCAAAAAGAGAAACTCTTCAGATTTTCCTTTTTTTTTGCAACTAATCCCATTTCGGTTTGAGGGAGAGGGTAAAGAGCCCTTCAGCCTCCTCAAAAAGGGATATTCAGTCTGGTTTCCTAAACGAACACCAGATATTGGGCTTGGGAAAAATGATTACTAATTAAAAACTGGATATATGATTGGATAATCAAGGTTAAAGAAGAAGTTTTTAAGTTTTTAAGCCTTTTAAAGTCTCTAAACATAGTATAATTGTGCCTTTTAAAATCAAAAACCAAAATTCAAAATTGAGCGGCACTACGGGGAGTCGAACCCGGATCGTGTGGGTTCTGGACAAGCGCGCTCCTCACTGCGCTAGAGAGAGACGCCAGGGGGGTTTATCTACTTTGATATATCAAAAGACCCAATTTGTTTTCCTTGCTAAAAAGCTTTCTTATCTTTTGTTCTGTTTAAAGTTCAGCTAGTAGAGGTTATATTTGCTTCTTGACACCCCTTAAAGGGAAAGACATAGATAGACATTGTGTACAGAAAGATAAGGGTCACCCCTGCCCTCGAATGTCTCGATTTGTTCAGACAGAGAGATGCTAATGCAGCACAAACATCTCTCATAGAATTCCCTCCTTATAGAAGGCTGTCATCGGATCCTCTTCCTCTGTCTAGGTCCATTCTTTCCCTTTTCCCATGTTCCTTGTGTATTGATCTTCTCGAGTTCCGTCTTTTCCCTCCTTTCTTCATCCCATCTGCCCCATTCCCCCCTTTAGAATGATCGAAGATCACCGGAAGAATGGGATTTCTATTCTTTTTCCTTGACCTCCAAATCCTAAGCCTTCTAAAACACTGACCATCTTTGCTCAGTACAAGCCCCCAGGATTTCGGTCAATCTATTCTTAGGCTGATCTGGTCATAGACTTGTACTTGAGACTCCATAGTTAAATGAAGAGATACTCAACGATCAAACTGTAAATAAAACTTTTCTGGAAGTGATCTGTCGATGATAGCATTCCCGTAGACTGAATAGGTACAGTAACTATGAATCTGTAGGTACGGTAAGCTAAAAATCTCTAATACAATCTCTAATCTCTAATAGTTCTATAATTTTAGGATTTTTTTTGAAAGCAAAAGCTACCCCTAAAGCCTTAAAACTTTTGAGAAATTTAATTTGCAACTTGCAATTTTCTTTCCGAAAACCATAAAATCCCTGATCATTGGCACAAAGTATCACATGTTGATGCAGAAAAAATGTTCAGAGTCAACCCGTCACTGATCCATCAACATGTTCACCTTTTCTCTCTAAGAAACCAACTCAAAAATCACGAGAGTCAGAGATTGTAGTCTTTAGGAAAATATAATAATATAGATTTTTACTGACCTGTCCCCCAGTGACGATATGTTTCAAAAGCATCTCCAAATCATCGCCGCATCCATCGACCAATAGGGTGGTGGCGATAGTCTGGAAATCAAGAAAATTAACAAATACAGGTTTAAGATCAGAATTTCATTATCCTTTATGAAGATTACGATATAGAAAAACGAAAGAAGCTTCCGAGTATCAAGTTTCATTTCAATTTCAGTTATGCTTTACAAACCTACTCAATCACTAACACTTTTATGTAAAGCTTTTTTCAATAAGATTTCCGGCTAACCCTTATAATACTCAAGTTCTAATTTGCAAATCGATAAATGGAAACTAGCATTCAAGCTCAAACCTTCAAATTGTGTAGCTGCAATAGGGTAAGGTTATGCGAGTTCGGCGAGTCCAAATCCAACTCTTCGATCTCCGTCTCATCCATTTCCATCATCACCTGAACGAATTGAGATTTATATATATTGAGAATCTAAGCTCTTAAAATTCCGAACACCCGATTTCCCTCATTGACCTCCTCAAATGTTTTATGCCTAAAATGTTCTGACAGCTCTTTTCGCAGATCTTTTGTAAAGATTTCTATGAGATAAACGATTTTCCGAACCTTTTTTCCTCTCAATCTTTTAATTTTTCATTGAGATCATTGAGATTTTTCTTTGAAAGGAAAGTTGACACTCGGAAATCCGCTCGTTTTTCTTATAAGAACGGTATTCAGTCGGTTGACTGAATATCATTTATTTGAAAAGAAGTTTATTTTAAATCAGATACCATAATCGGGTAAGAAATATATCTATTTTATTTTATATCGATTATTTCGGGCTAGGCTACTTTGCGCCAAATTTTTTGCGCAACTAGGTCATTTGCGCAACTAGATCTTTTGCGCAACTCGCCATAACTTTCTTCGAAGTCGGCCAATCTTTATGATTTTTGTGTCATTTTGTTACACTTGTTGAGATCTACAAAATGACATAAAAATCATAAAGATTGGCTTACTTAAAAGAAAGTTATGGGGAGTTGTGCAAAAGATTTGGCGCAAATTAGCCTACCCCATTATTTCTTTAAGCTCACCAGCATATCCTGTGTCGGCACTCCCTCTAAAATCACATCCCCGATGCGCATCGTTTGGGCCCGTAGAGTCCACATCATGTGTCTGAAAATTGAGAAATTAATCCAGAGAATCGTGGAAAAATTGATTTGTGATGGAAAAAGGGAATGATTTCTCGAGAAAATGATTGATTGACATTATTCGGCGAAAAAAAACAACAATCAACGAGTGAGGTGCCGATTTCGTAATGGGAAAACGGGGAATTTACATGAAAAATTGATTTTTCGATGTGCAAATGACGAAAAAAAGAAAAACTATTGGGAGACTTGTTTTAGACAACTAGGGATACGGTAGATTTGCAGACAGTATCGTAGCCATTAAATTTAAGTGCAAGTGGATGGATAAACGTTGCCGTATCGTAGCCATTAAATTTAAGTGCAAGTGGATAGATAAAAATTGCCACTTCAGAATTTATTGTACCGTATACAGCTGAAGTGCAAGATAGAAAAGCAAATTTGAGCTTTAATGGATAAAGTGCTGTAAATCGTACACATTGGGTTCTACAAATGTTCTCTTTATTCTAGAAATGAATAGGGTAAGATAGAAAAGTAAACTTGAATGGAATGGATAATGGAATGGAATGATTATCGCTGTAGACTGTGAAACAAGTGAAAGTGAGCTTTGAACTTTAATTACCAGTTAGTAGTTAGATAATAAAGCTCTAGTTAGATAAGTAGTTAGATAATAAAGCTCTAGTTAGATAAGTAGTTAGATAATAAAGCTCTAGTCATAGACTATAGAAAAAGTAACAAGTTGAATAAGAGTCAAAAAAAAGACCTATAGCTTTTTGCAATATGTCTGTCAAAGGGGAATAGAGCGGAAATCGGAAATGGTAAAGGTTGAAGGGGAAATAGGGGAGTGAGTAAGTCGTAAAACTCAGAAAGGAGTGCATAGAAGATCTGGTGGGATGGAAGGGTTGTGATCTGACTACCTAGTGAGTGACTCTTCGCTCACCTCATCTCTCCCCTTTTTACGATCTCTCTACTCCTTTTCCAGGCCAGGTTTACCCCGATTTTGTCTATGATTATTTCTTCAACTTTATATTATGAATAAGCCATTTTCCAATAAAATGATTCACTCGGTCTTCCAGTGAAATCTTATCAAAGCAATAAAACGGTGTAAAATTTGCCTTGAAAAAAACAGAAAACTTTCATTGATCAAGGATATAAATGGGATGAGAATTGGATGAGAATTGGATGAGAAATGAATGAGATAAGGATAAGGTGAAAAAGAAATCCTTCGAAATGATTGACCCTTGCGAGGGAATTCGAAAAAGAGAGACAGGTGTGCGCTCCATTGTCTTTTAGAAAAAAAAAGAGGGTAAGTAAAAGGAGTATTTCAAGGGTAAGTAAAAGGTAAGTAAAAGGGTAAGTAAAAGGAGTATTTCAAAAGGCAGCAATTTCAGCGCACTGATTTAGTAGACTTTTCCCATTTCTTTCCTTCTAGGCAATGATTGTCTAGTGTGCTTCCTTTCTGGGTGTTGGGGGTATCCCCCCGGGGGGATTTCGTGTCTACTCTCGCTTTTTCTCCTTTTTTCAGTAATCTCATGGCATCTGGTGGCCATCCATCCATCCACAAATCCCCCGAAAATCCCCTCATCTCTTTTCCGATATCTACCGTAAACTTAACAGCTTTATTTTACTTTTATTGATAAAAATTGGTTTATATGTAGAATACTCTGTACTAAGACTAAGGAAATACGATTCCTTTGATCAATGAGACTAAGGAATATGATTCCTTTAATCAATGAGACTAAGGAATACGATAGATCATCCAGAAAGTAACATTAGATTCAAGTCTTACAGATAAACAAACAGATATACGATAGAAACAGGTTAAGTACAAATCTTTGTTAAGTGCATAGCCTACTAACTGTTCTGTTATTAGTAACTGTTCTGTTATTAGTAACTGTTAGTACTTAAATTAGTACTAACTAATAACAGACTGTTAGTACTAATAACAGAACAGAACTACGATAGAAAAGTTACAGGTTTTCCAATATACTGTACTAAAAGTGCTATGAGTTTTCGGATTCACTGAGATCTTTAGTTTTTTTGATTCATTGACTATCTTTCTTTTCTTTCTTTCTTTCTTTTTCTTTCTTTCTTTCTTTCCTCCCCCTTCTTCTTCTTCTTCTTCTTCTTTCTTTCTTCTTTCTTTCTTCTCTTCTCTTCTTTCTTTCTTTCTTCTCTTCTTTCTTTCTTCTTCTTCTCTTTCTTTCTTTCTTTCTTCTTCTCTTCTTCTTCTTTTCTTTCTTTCTTCTTCTTTCTTTCTTTCTTCTTTCTTTCAAATCTTTCATAAAATACCGGTATTTTCGAGTTTTTGTGAGAAAAGAGGTAGCTCAAAATGGGCGCTCAGACACATAAAAAAAAGAATAAGAAGGATTTTGAGGAGAAGAAATGTGAATGCACACTTCAACACTCAAGGAAATCGATTTTTCCCCCGTCCACCCGCCGTCCATTCCCCCATTTTCCCCCGAAACACCGAATGGCTCATAACTTATGTGTGCGACCAAGACAATAACGACCAAAAAAAATGATCCCGATTCTTAACAATAGAAGATTCATAGGTAAACAAGTACTATCCTATTGCGGGTACACGTCTGTGTACAAAAATCACTGACTATGCTGTTACACTGGGAATCCGCTGAACGATTCAAAAAAAAAAACCTAACTGTGTTTTGGTCTGTGTCTTAACCAAACTGTCTTAATTGTTTTTCGGAAAATCAGGAGATTCTCTGTTTTCCCCAATCTCTAGAGACCACTTTTTTCTTTTAAATTAAAATACAAAATTTTACAAACATTTTCTTTTATTTCACTTGATCAAATTCGATCTATCTTTCTCTTCTTAACTTCTTGTAAAATGAAAAAGTCAATAAAGTCAAGCAGAAAATTGGAGAGATTTGAAAAAAGAGACAAGAAGATGGAGTGGAAATGAAGAAAAAGGAATGGTGTGATTTTAGCAGATGTAAAGGGGTACGGTAGATGATATTTGCATGTTCGACAAAGGATTGGGAGTATAGGTATATAGGAGTCTAGGTATATAGGAGTATAGGTATATAGGAGTATAGGTATATAGGAGTCTAGGTATATAGGAGTCTAGGTATATAGGAGTATAGGTATATAGGAGTCTAGGTATATAGGAGTATAGGTATATAGGAGTCTAGGTATATAGGAGTCTAGGTATATAAGAAAACTCAAGAGTAGAATGGTAGTTCATTTGGAAAGGAGAATTACTGTAACTGTAACTTCTTACTGTAACTGTAACATATAAAAAGAAACGATCGGGATACAAGATGATGATTATATCCATTAGACAATGGATAAATGTAAATAAATGTAAAGAACAAGTGCTAGAGAAGATCACCTAGTTATATTAATAAAGCAAAAATGAATATACATGTAAATATTATTGATTTGTGAGAAGCTTTTTGAAGGAGAGAGTCGATAGCTAGGAAACGATGAAGAAGGGAAAGCAAGAAAGAAAGAGGAGAGGCTTAGATGGGAGCTCAACCCTCAACCCCCTTCACTCCATCTTCATTTCTTCTTTCTATACATAAATACTTTAAACAAGGATACATGTACAGAATGAATAAAGTTTTAGAATAACTTAGAGCGTTTTTACAGATCTTTGGGCAAAAGCTGATGAGATAGCCGGTTGGAGTTGCTTGGTAAAATTTAAGTACTAACAGTTACTAATAACAGAACAGTCAGTAGGCTATGCACTTAGCCAAGATTTGTACTTAACCAGGCTATGCACTTAACCAAGATTTGTACTTAACCAGGCTATGTACTTAACTAGGATATGTACTTAACTAGGATATACATAGCCTTAAAAAAACTTAACCACTCAACCAGTCTCAAACGATCATAACTAATTCTCGATATTCATTTGAAAGTACGATAAAATAAAGGTATTTCTAAAAATGTACTATTTGAAGGTACAATAAAATGTGGGTATACTGGTAAGCAGGTAAGAAGAAGAAGAAGAGAAGAAGTAGAAGAAGAAGTAGAAGAGGAAGAAGCAAAAATATTGAGGAATAAAATAGTGTAGGGTGTCAGAATGGGAAAAAGCGGCAATCTCTCTCGGACATTCAGAAAAAAAGAGTAGGCGTGGCTTGGGGAAAAGAAGAAAAAGGAAGGGAAAGAAAGGGAAAGAAAGGGAAAAGACAGACAGACAATGGGCGGGGTCTTATAATTACAGATAAACTGCTAGAGTTATATATTTAAATCTTTAATATATGAAGTTAAGATCGAAACTATCGTAATATCTGAGACAATGAGACACATGTAATAGATTGTATTTATATTGAAAAGTATTTGTTTAAAGATTGTAGCCTCTCTGAATTGATTCGTTTCCTAAAACGTGTAAACTTTCGAAAACTTTCGAAAACTAAGATATCTACGGTAGTTTTACTTGTTGATTAATCATCTGCTTTTTTTTTCTAATAATAAATCTCTACTTTGTGCTTTGTTTATTCGCATTCTTTATTCTAGACGCACAAAAACAGAATATCTAAATTCTTTCGTGAAATTTCGCAACTCTATCCATTTTTCTTTTTTTGCCGTCAAAAGCACACAATAATTCGAAAATCCGCCAATCAAAAAGGCAACATTTACACAGCTTTCGCATCTCCAATTTGAATTTCTTAAAGTGTAAAGATTGTTTCAAAAATCAAAGTACTAGCCTCTAAAAAAGTAAAGAAATTTCGTCATTGACAAAGAACGAAAAGAAAGATGAGATCTTTGTCAGAACAGGTTGATCAAGATTTATCCCAATGATGCAATCGGGCCCCGGGGTGAGAAAGGAATTTTTTGTTCACACCAAATTTGAGCGAAAAGTGCGATGGGGAAGATTCGAGAAAGCACTGAAAGAGGTGATAATCGAGGGATGGGGAAAGGGAAACCTTCTCGAAACATCCCCGAAAATCTTTTCCTCAAACATTGCAATGACTTGGGAATACCCAAATTAGTCTGAGAGAATTTCGAGTAACAAAAATGCTGGACCATGCTGTACATTGAGTTAATTGATGTGGGGAAATTGAA